TCTAGAAAAGACAGCTTCTGTATCAAAGAAAGCTATCTTCATTAACCTACCATTCAAAGGTGACAGATAGCTCAAAGATTTCGGTCAGCCATCAAGCACACATTCTCCGCCGCCGCATCTCTTTCCCTGTCATGTCGAACATTTTCGATCCCTGTGTACCTACGATTAAAAGATGAAATTCTATAAAATCTACTTCAAACTGTATCTACGCCGTTCACCTGCAGTTGCGGTGACGTACACTAATATAGGTAGAACCAATAAAATGTCTCAATGTGGTCACCGAAAGGAAAATAGTTATTAAAACACACAGAAAATCCTAATGCAATTATTAATCTGAATAGAAATCCATCACCAACCATCCATCACAAAATCAATATTAATGACTGTTTCACAATTATTTCATCACATAACTCTAATTTAAGGTTGATTATTAAAGGTGATGGAAGCACTTTTGGGGATCATTGGTAAGCATCCTAAAGTATGCATGCAAAACACAATTGACTTCAATCTTCGCCTACCATGGCGAGTATACTTCATCGATTTAAAAAAGATTGGTCATTAGGGTAAACTTTTGTTTTATATAACTGAGTAATTGTCATGCATTTTATTTCATTATTATTGTGGACGATGCTAGTTTTAAAGCGGTTGTAAAGACACTCCGGAATGATATCATTTCACGAAATTTCTCGTCTAAATACCTTATTCAAATTTATCAAAGGGACTTAATGCTATTAGAACAAGACATATAAGCGAACAATATTGTTTTCAATTAGATCTACTTCAGGCTTTACTCTAATTTACATAGACTTATATATATATATATATATATATATATATATATTTACATATATATATATAAAATTTTAACCAATGACGGTGATTTAGTGGATCAAATAATAATAGTAATCATAATAATAATAATAACAATAATAATAATAATAGTAATAATATTGTGGTAAATGTTTTGAACGAAGTTAATAGCGATGATTATAATAATAACAAAATATTGTTAATAAGGCTTATATATGTGATAAGAATAACAAAGTTAGTATATGCATATATGCAGAAAATTCAATAAATAAATAAATTAGGTCAAATCAAATGGAACGATAATCAGAGTTTAAATAAATATCATAAAAGTACGAAGGAGAGGGATGATAAGAAAGGGTTGGAGGTTTTCGAATAGAATTCACCTAGGCCAAGGGTGGGAGAGACAAAGGTAGAACAAATTTCTTTTGTATACAAAGACTAGGATTGTTCTCTCGAATTCCCATAGCTTCTTCGGCTAAGTGTAAAAGACGGGTTCTGATTCCGTTCGAAAGACTTGATGGAATGCGGTAAATAACTTTGAAAGCACTATTTTTGTCCACTTGGTGACCACTATCAATCAAATTTTGAATTTAAAAAAACTAATATATTGAAATTATTTCATTTCTTCTTCTTTTTCTTTTCCTTTGTTCCTTTGTTTCATTGACAAATGTTCATTTTTTTGACCTTTTATGATTTCATGACATTTTTTATGCTTTTCTAACTTGTTACCTACCATATTTACAAAATCCTGTTCATTTCAATAAATTTATTATTACTTATTATTATGATTATTTGATAATCACCCACTAATAGTACTTTTAAGTTTGCACCACATCTTTCCCTCACACACCGAACATTTTCGATTCCTGTACCTACCTACGATTAAAGAACGAAATTCTATGGCCTCTACTTCAAACTGTATCTACGCCGTTCACCTGCAGTTGCGGTGATGCACACTTATGTAGGTAGAACTAATAGAATGTTCCAAAGTGATCATCGATAAGAACATATTCCAAAATGGTTATTAAGGCACATAGAAAATCTCAGTGCAATTATTAATCCAAATAGAAATCTACCATCATCATCCACTGCAAGATACTTATTAATGTCAGGTCACAAAATCAATATTCTTGACTGTTTCACAATTATTTCATCACATAACTCTAACTGTAGGTTGGTTATTAAAGGTGAAGGAAGCACTTTTGGGGATTAATCCTATGCATCATAAACTATGTGTACAAAACACAATAGACTTCAATTAATGTCACCTACCATGGACTACTTGACCCGTCTGTTTGTCTGTCTGGATTCAACATAGAACTTACCACCGAACAACAGCAGTTCGAGTTGCCACGTTCCAAATAGCACACAAAAGTAGACAAGAAGATGAGTGAAGAGAATCAATACAGTCTGACAAGTATACGAGTGAAACAGAATGGGTAATGGTAGAAAGGAATATGAAAGATTACAGAGACTGAATACATCTGCTCTGGCCATTGACAACGATTTTGAGCCATGTCACCTATTGTTTCCAGCCATTGATTCCTAGAGTCAGTCCCGAGGGCCCCAACCCGGAGGTCTGCATCTCCCTACCTGACTCAGCTTAACTGTCAAGGATTTCATGGATTGACGAGGCCATGTTTTTGTTTGGCCACCACTGGCTCTTTTCCAACCTACACCTATATCAGCTAGCTAGTGATGCCCGTCGTCGTCGGAGGCGATGGTTAGGCATGCGCACCACCTGACCTAGCCATCTCAGTCTATGTAACTTTATAGCCTCGTCGATTGATTTTCCCTCTTTACCCAACACTCTACGCCTAACGTCAACATTACTTACCTTATTATACCACCTAACGTGAGACAGAGATTGCAGACATCTATGATCGAAAGCAGTCAACCTTTTCATGTCTTCAACTCGTATTGGCCATGTTTCAGAGCCATAGAGAAGGACGGAGCGAACCGCTGAACAGTACACACGTCCCTTGGTTGATGGCCGGATGTCACACCTACGCCAGGGATGGTGTAAGTCAGCGAAAGCAGCTCGAGCTTTTCGGATCCGTGCTGAGATTTCATCGCCAATCAGTCCGTTGATGTTAATACAACTTCCCAAATAGGTGAAGTGGTCAACATGTTCTATCACTTCACTCCCTATCACTAAGTTAGGAGTTGACGTAGTCCAGTCCTGTAGCAGCATCTTGCATTTTGCAGGGGCGAATCGCATGCCAAACATACGAAGATTGCTGCTCAAGGTGTTCAGAAGACTCTGCCTCATTTTGTCAGCATCCTCCCCTAACAGGACTATGTCATCTGCATATTCTAAGTCCATAAGACTATTCCCTGGTAACAAGTCGATTCCTAAGTCATTACGTTCAGTTAAGGATACTTCCATCAGCATATGTATGATGAAGTTAAACAGAAATGGGGAGAGTGGACATCCCTGTCGGACACCACTGGTTGTTACCAATTCAGATGACAATTCCCCATAAGCCCTTACACGACTACATGAGTTTGAATCGAGTGCCTTAATTGGTGCAATGTACTTTCTTGGCACTCCCTTCACAGTCAGACATTGCCATAGTACATTTCGATCCACGGATTTGAAGGCCGCCTACTCGACCTATTTAAATATGGCTGGTCATTAGTATGTACTTTTGTTTTATATAACTGAGTAATTTTATTATTGTGAACCATCTTAGTTGTAAAGCGGTTGTGAAGACACTCCGGAATGATATCATTTCACAAAATTTGTCTTCTAAATGACTTATTTATTATTATTATTATTATCGTCTAGTTCACCGCATTCGTTGGTTTATTTTCTGTAGTAGTCATGTTGACTCACACACCACTGACTACACTCTGTCTTCAAACGTGTACTTTTGTTGACTATATATACAGGCAGAAGTTAGAATTCATGGGTTGGCCAATGAATCGGGCCCCAATGGCTTAAAGGTCTACAAGCTTGCCTTGTAACCAGAAGATCCTGGGTTCGTACCCTAGTGGTGTGTGCATACTGAAGAAGAGTCCCAAATTAGGACGAAACAGCTGTTTTGCACTCTCAGGTTTTCCATTGGTTTTCTAATCTATGTCAACTCATGATGATACCCTCCAACTAATCAAACGCAATCTCTACGATCCAATCCTGGAAAAAATAAATACATCTCATTGAATTATTTCATCTCATGTTCTCACTGACCATAAATATTCAAAACTGTGTATACAAATTTACATGTATCTGCGGGAGCAGTTACATTGGAAGGACAGAAAGAAGGGCGTATCTACGATTTTCTGAACATGTACCAAAAAGCTTACGTCTAAAGGGAACAAATGCTTTAAACAGTGCCATCACCAGGCATCTCCTTGACACAGGTCATGAGGTGGACGTTGGAAAGTCGTTCGAAATTATCAATAAGCAAAATAGCTAAATTCTCCTTAAGTTTGCTGAGGCCATTTCCATCAAGCGCCTGAAACCTGATTTATGCGTCCAGAAAGAAGCGGTTATCAGTCTTTCTTTGCCAGCCTGGTAACTGGATAATTTCACCTCTCTTTCTTCCGAATGTGAAATGCTAAAAGTTTCCATTGTGTTTGATTATTATTGTTTGGAATAGTGGTTAATATTGCATATTTATATATGTATATATTTTTAGTGTATGGGTATATTGATCGATTGATTTTTGTTTAAACTGAACTCTGTGTGGGCAAGTATGTTAAAATTGTTGTTGTAGATATATTTAATAATGTCTTTGCCATGTAAGCAGCTGACGAGAAGGCAACGAAATAAACACTGATGGTACCATTTTATTCTGCTAAAACTTTAGTTCTTGTTTTGTTCAAATTCATTAAGGGGAATAAATGTATGAAATATTCAAAACGTTAACTGACTATTGTTCCATGCCATCTTACTTATACTTGTTCTACAATACACTTTCTGATATGATTCTAATTTGCCTTTACTGACTGTCTGGTTATAGTATGGTTATATTAATGGATTTATAATTGTAGAGCCTGACTAAGAAAAATTTATTGAAAGCGACAATTGTTCGCTTCAACTGTTTTCTTTCTCCTGAATAATTTATGAGAATTTACAGGAAATTGAAATTAACAAAAATTGATTTTCATTTGTTTTTTTCTTTATCCTAGATATTTTCCCCTTGATAAAGGAGTATTCATTTGCAAATAGAAAGAATCAAGATATGGCGGGAAATATAGGATTCAATTTTGGTTCATCTAGTGCACATGTAAGTACCATTCTTGTATTGTCTTTTCTCTATCGAATCAGTATATTCCTGTATTTCCAGTGTGCTGTACACATCATTAAAAAATTTGATATATATTTTTAAATTTTATTCTTTTACATTCCCATTGAGACATAGAGCTTCGAAGTTTCTGTAGCAAGGGTGGTTATTTTTACGGGATGGGACTGCTAGCCTCATGCCTATCCTTTTCTCTCTTTACTAGTCGTATTACTGGCTTAGCGAACGAGGTAAAGGAGTGTGTCGGTGGCCAGGGATGGAACTCCAAACCACATACATGGTTGGCGAGCATCTTTACCACTGTGCCACCGACGCTCATTAGAGAATTACTATAGACTGAATCTGATGATTAAACTTATTTATGTGTAAGAGAGAAGCAAATAATTACGATAACTGATCACTAAGGAATATTGAAGAGCATTTTCAACCTGGTGTGTAGGGTACCCAAGTAGTGTAAACTCATGACCCTGCCAGGGATCGAACCCAGTGGAATTTAAAAACCAATAAGATCAAATATTTGTCAATCCTTCATATAGAACAATCGACAAACACTATCGTCGATGTACATCCGCCTCAGTATGACATAATGAACCCCAGCGCACCTTTGTTCTCAATGATACTCTCACTTTTGTAGACCGAAGTAGACATTTTTACTGGAATTACTGTTATGAACAAAGCAGTATGGTTGAAAGACTATACAAACAGAAGAATAAATTATCAAACCAGAATTCCATATTAGTTTATTCATTAAGTGTATCACACAGTGAAGATGACGTTTAGAACTAAATTTATTGTTCATAATCATATCGATTATAATCAAAATATTTCGAGACTTCAATTTTATAGTTTTCTTTGTTCTCTCCTATTTGTCGTCGTTGGGGTAGAAGAATTTTCCAGATGTCCGGGTGGACAGGTGTTGAATCATTCCTATTACACGTGTTTGCAGTTGATTCGATAAACAAAGCTTCCGCTGTTATCAATCTTCCCCACTCACCACCCTGTGACATTAGATTTTAAAACTGTCATCTTATCCCATCATCATCCTATTGTATTGTTGGTTGTGTGTAATTACATGTGGTGAGTTCTATAGCTGAACCACTCTCTAGATTTCTTATCTTATTCGGGTGAACTAACCTAGAATTTTGCTAGGTTTTAATGCTCGGCTAGTCTGACTGCATCTGTTCTTCTAGTCTGACCTGTGTATTTGACCTGACAATCATTGCAAGCAGGGTATTAGATAAACTTAATTGTTTTGTTTTAAAGGTTCCACTGGCAGAATCCTTTAACCGACAAAGCTTGTTTCTAATTGAATTTGTGGGTGGTTTGAATGCCAGCCACTTTCTTTATTCTTGCCTTGTTAAGAATCCTGCATAAGGTGGTTTCCGAGGTTCCTTTCTTGTATAGAATTACTGCTGATGATTTAGATTCCTTATTGTGGGTGTTGTCTTGCGCATCACCATCATCAACAAATAGGAAAGAACCTAGAAAACTATGAAACTCAAGTTTTAAAGTTTTGTGATTATAATTGATGATGTGATTATGAACAATAATGAATTGTGTTCGAAACTGTTTCATTCAATAAATACTACTGTTTCTTCACTGTGTGATACATCTAATAAACAAACTAATATGGAATTACTTACTACTACGGTGCACAAGTTTTACACATTTATATCAAACCAGAATATTCTATCTTTGACCATTTATCTTAGTGTTTTTTTAATCGGTACTGAGAATTTCTTCAGATAGTCATAAATCACTTCTTTGGATGGTATTTCTTTTATATTCCATTAAGTTTTAAAATAAGGTCAAAAATGACAACAATTAGTGGTGGGAAATTCAATCTAAGGCTTTTTGATTCCTTCATACAAATAATACCAAGAGGATAAAAAGTTCAAATTATAAATTATGATATATATGTATATATAAGGATTACTTTTAGAAAAGCCTTTGGAATCAACCTGTTTTGAAATGAAAAAAAGAATTGAAATTACATACTAACCCTATTCTTTGAAGGATGATGAATCATTATGAAGATAAAGTATTAGTTGTGTCAGTATTGGATTTATCAGTCCCTCACCCCTTGAATGCTTCCTAATAACATTGACAACAGTCTGTATGATAGATTCAGCAACTCGTTTTAAGTCATACTAAGATAAAATGTCTCACTGTTCATCGGTGGCTAAGTGGTAGAATGTTCGCCGACCACGCATGTGGTCCGGAGTTCGATTGTCGACGGCACAGCTGTTAGGACGCTCTCCGACCATGCACGTGGTCCAGGTTTCGATCGCCAGCTGGCGCACTCCTTTACCTCGCTAAGCCTGTAGTGAGACTGGTATGAGGAAAGGTTGGGCATGAGGCTAGCAATCCCATCCTGTAAAAATAAACACCACTTCTACAGAAACTTCAAGCCACTACCTTGGAGCCCTATGTTCCACTTGGAACGTGAAGGAAAAAAATATTTCCGATAAATCTTTGAAGATATGATACTCAAAAAAGTTCATTTATTCGTAGATGAATGGCCTTATTTGATCTATTATTGACAAATGTTTTAGTATTTATCATCTATCGGTATTCAATGATGAGCTCGTAGTCAAACCTGTAGCCAAGTGAACACCCTGCAAAACAACACATGATAATTAAATGTTATTCTCACGAGCGACTGGCTCGATACAGAAAGTTACCTGGATACAAGTATAAAACTTGGGCACTGTGGTAGAGCATAACTCCATTATAGATAAGAATTTATTTTGATAAGTCACACAGTGTTGTTATGCAGTAATATTAACTGATGAAGCTTCGAGTACAAATTATTGCTCATAATCATATCAAGTTACTCACACAAAAATTTTCCTTAATTCACTGCAATGACTGTGAGGCCAACTACGTAGGTCAAACTAGTAGGTCGGGGGTACTCAGATTGTCAGAACATAAGAATTTAGCTAAGGGAAGAATGGTTGATCCCACGAAGATAAGTAATTTAGACAAAAAGCTCAGCAATTGCAAGGCATGCATTAACACATAACCACACAATAGGGTGGAAGAGAGTTAGAGTTCTAAAAAGTAATCTATGTAGGTGGAGATAGAGAGAGGTTGATTCTGTCTGTCTGGATTCAACATAGAACTTGCCACCGAAGTGCACCAGTTCGAGTTGCCTCGTTCCAAATAGCACACAAAAGTAGACAAGAAGATGAGTGAAGAGAATCAATAGAGTTTGACAAGTATAAGAGTGAAACAGAATGGGTAATGGTAGAAAGGAATACGAAAGATTACAGAGACTGAATACATCTGCGCTGGCCATTGACAACGATCACTTTGAGCCATGTCACCTATTGTCTCCAGCCATTGATTCCTAGAGTCCCGAGGGCCCCAAACCGGGAGTCTGCATCTCCCTACCTGACTCAGTTTAACTGTCAAGGATTTTATGGATTGATGAGGCCATGTTTTTGTTTGGCCACCACTGGCTCTTTTCCAACCTGCACCTATATCAGCTAGTAATGCCCGTCGGGCGGGGGAGGAGATGGTTAGGCATGCGCAGCACGTGACCTAGCCATCTCAGTCTATGTAACTTTATGGCCTCGTCGATTGATTTTCCCTGTTCGCCCAACACTCTACGCCTAACGTCAACATTACTTACCTTATTAAACCACCTAATGTGAGAAAGAGATCGCAGACATCTATGATCAAAAGCAGTCAACCTTTTCATGTCTTCAACGCGTATTGGCCATGTTTCAGAGCCATAGGGAAGGACGGAGCGAACTGCGAGAGGTTGATTACTGAATTCTGGCTGGTTCATTGAGTCTACACCCAACACATGCAACAGAAATGACTCAATGCAAATACCAGAGATATGCATGGAAGATATTATTACCACCAGTCAGTCAGTCAAAGCAGAGGAGGATAAGAAATAATCTTAAAATTCTATTTCAATTCAAACACATCACAACATTCTAACAAGTTACTTATTATGACTATAAAAAACACTCGTCTTATTTCCCATCTGATTGTTATTGATCAAAAACACTCATATTATTGATTTTCGAATGTATATTATCTCATACTGATTTTTATTCCAATAACTAATCGATTCCACACATGAATATAAATGAAGGAAAAAAGTAGTGAGCAATAGTTTGTGCTGGAAATGTTATCAGTTAATATTACTGTTTAACACCACTGTGTGATTTATCAAAATAAAATCTTATCCATGATGGAGTTACCTGGAGTTCTAGGGAGAAGTCGCCACTCATGAGTTCATCAAATCGGGTAGGTGGACACTTATTCACCTGTCACACTGGCTGGCGGTTGCACTATGTAAGTCGTTAGACTTTTAGAAGTTGGAATTCGCTGACCAGTGGGTTGGATCCCGGAGGATGAATGGTCTACAAGCTCTCCTGGGTTCCAGTCCTATTAGGTGCGTACCTCTGGAGTCCCAACCGTGTGTGAAACGGTTATCCAGTACTCCTTGCTGGTTTTCCAATGATTCTTTAACCGAGATCAGCTCAAGAGATTTAATAACGGGGTGGGGGTAGGTTAAGGAATTGATGTATTTCAATGTCTCTTTTTCTTTTCCATTTATTTTTTATTCACAGTTATGTCCAACTTTAAAGCCTGCAGTAAATTTCGATCCAGAAGGTGACTGTGAGCGAATGCGTAAAGCAATGCATGGCTTGGGTACAGATGAAGCAGAATTAATCGAAGTTATGGCTCATAGATCAGCAGAACAACGTCAAATTCTTGTACAAAAATATCGATCATATTATGGAAAAGATTTAGCAGCAAAATTTAAATCAGAAATTAGTGGACATTTTTATGATACAATGGAAGCTCTGTGTATGACACCAGCTGAATTTGGTGCTAGTGAACTTTATAAAGCTATGAAAGGCGCAGGTACAGATGAATCAGCAATCATTGAAATTCTATGCACACGATCCAACCTTGAATTGAGACAGATTAAAGAAGCCTATGGACGTTGTAAGTGACATTATTATCAAATATTGAAATATTGATGATGAGAATTGAAATAGTCTTCATTAGTTATTCCTCATGTAATGGGTGATAATAAAAAGTTGCGAGGATATTTCAATCTGTGACCTACGAATTACTAATCTGACACTCTATCAACCTAAGGAGTAACTAAGTCAGCGATTTCCCTTAGAAAGCTGGTAGAGAGATGAACATGCTGACCGATTTAGTTTCAACATAGAACTTTGCACAGAAATGCCAATGTAATTCACTTTGCCACATTCCATGCAGCTCACAAAGATGAACAAAATAGAGGAGAAATTAAATTCAAGAAATCATAATGTAACAATAGAAGACAAGGGCCAGACAACAGATCCTTTGCTGACAAAATGAACAGATATTTATAGATTTTCATGTACATTAGTATAGATTACTTTAAGGAAACAAACATAGTCTTCTGATTGTTGGTTTCTCGCTGAACGTTAATCTTTCATCTCTTTGTGGCCGTTTCTTGAATTTCAGATTACGTATCTGCAAATTATATCCGCCTACGCAAAGTCTGCTGTGATTGGTTTTTGAGTCAGTCTTTGTTCTTGTTCTATTCTCATGACCAATAGTGGGGAAGTATACATTGACGTAAATTACCGTCTACCAATTTTAGCTAGCAGCCAGCTCTTACTACAATAGTTATGAGCAAAAGTGTGACGGGGATAGAATAGTGTACATAAGAGGTGACAGAGAGTGAATGTATCTACAGTACTGAAAACTGTTTTGAGCCATATCATGGGTAGCCTCAAACCACCGGTTCATAGTACTCCAAGGACCTCTGCGTGTGGTTTAAGCCAACGTTCATGGTTTGATCACATGTGACTCTTCTTCAAACTTATCCTATGTCGGCTAACACTGCTTGTCGAGGAAGGCGGCGGCTGTTCAACATAAGTTCTAGTCATCTTAATTGATTTTGCTTCACAAGCTCCCCTACCTAATACTTTATCCCTAACCCCACCATCATCTGTCATAGTGCGCGTGAGACAGAAAGCAAAATTATGGGTCAACTATACCTAGTCTTTCTATAAAGAGACACATTTGTGAATGAAATGAAAATATGGTTCTCAGAGGAATTCGAACTGGAGGCTTTTGATTGGAATTCTACTGCCATTCAGATTCTGCGCATTTCATCTGCACTCATTACCCATAACATATTTTAACTGATTAAAAATGCCCATTAAAATTTTTAAAAGAATGGATACTGAACAAAGATTGCTCTTTTCGATAACTACATCATAAGGCTCTACAGTCATATATACATAATAGTAGTGAATGGATTGGTGTTATGAACAACACTAATGCTGTTCAAATAACATCGAATCAATAATATCAATAGATTACAGTTCAACAGCATCAACTTAAAATAAGCTGAATGTCAGAAAAATTAGGAAAGATAATAATACAAATTCATGAATTTATAGTCTCCACTGAAGACTGGCCAGTGCAGTAGTATTGGCTGGACTTACTTCTTTTGTACACAGAGCACTGGTTGTCTCACGCGAATTGCAACAGCCTCTGCTGTTTAAGGCATTCGCTGCTTCGATGTTTTTGGCAATTTATTAGGCTCCCGGCAGATGATTCTTCAACGGTGGCTTTGTGGCCAGTTTGGACCAAGTGGTCTAATATCGAACTGTTGATGGTTTTTACTACACATTTAAACAAAGCAGGAACTACAGTTTTAGCAGAATAATATGGTACCACCATTTATTATTATTCTGCTAAAACTGTAGTTCTTGCTTTGTTCAAATTCATTAAGGGGAATAAATGTATGAAACTACACATTTACTTAGCCATAGTGGGAGATGTTCCCGAATGAGCACGAAAAATCAAGTTCCTAGAGCAACGGCCGATAAAACTCGCTCCATAAGCGCAGTTGAATAGGTAGATACAATTTGAAGTGGCCAGCTAATCTAGGTACTTCATCTTTCAGTCGAGGAATCACCATCGGTCATGTAGAGAATAAGACGTGTAGTTCGCCAGCATTAAAAGTTCTTGAAACTAATTTTTTAAAATTTCTTCGTAATTATTTCACTTGGTATATCGCCCTTGAATTGTAGTCGCATATAAAGAGGCTTCTTGCTTACGGATAGTGAATAGTCCTTTTCCGCTTTCTTTGTCATGTGTTTCTTGATAAATTTGTCGGGATAGCTATTTTCGTTCAAAGTATCATATACAATGCTTAATTCATCTTCAATTACTTCTTCTGAGCATAAAGCTCTGACTCTGTTGCTGAGGGTCGTTACTGAATTTCTTTTGTACTTGAGAGGAATGAAGCTGTGAAATTGTGTATATTGTCCTGTCTGAGTTCTTTTTTATGCAAATTGTTTTTATGCTACCATCCGGTTTTCTTGTTTGGAGTACATCGAGGAAGGCTATTCCGTTTTGGGATTCCTCTTCGCACGTGAAATTCATTGAATTCAGTTATTATTGTACTCCTATGAGAATCATTATCACAAAGAATGAAGGTGTCATCCATATACCGGCAATAAAATGAGAACTTTCTGATAAGGTTGTTTAAAGGTCAATTTTCTAGTTTACATAGAAAGAAATCTGCCAAAATGAGACCCAATAAGGAGGTTATCTCCGTCCAGTTGTCTGTAAAATGTGCCCGCAAATTTGAAGTTTACATTCGTGGTACACTTAAATCGCAATTCTTTTAGGATTTTCGTTAGGATGCCTCTATTTGTCGTCTGGTTAAACACTTGTTCACATATATAGTTAACTGTTTCTACTAGAGGTACATTTTTGAATAAAGTTATGTTATGTCCAGAGATATCATGGTTTTGTCCTTGATATTAATATCTTTGATTTTTTTTTCTACGAATTCAAATACATCTTCGACGCTGTATTTCTTCTCATGCAAAGGTTTAAGAATATTTGCTAACCATGTAGCTAGAGCATGGTAGGGCGAATTTTGCATATCAAGTATTGGTCTTAACGGTGCCCCTGGTTTATGCACTTTGGGTAGGCCATACAATCTTGGCGTGTGCGTGCCTGTTGGTCTGATTTCTTCACATAAACTTTCAGAAAATATCTGCTCCTCCCTTAGTTTCTTCAAACGCCTGGGTTATTCATTCTCTATTTTGTTACTGAAATCTTTTTTGTTCTCAAGTTTTCGAAACTTCTGTGTGTCCTTCAGTGTATCATTCATCTTTTTATTATAGTCACTTCTATCAAAGAGGACTACTCTTGATGCTTTATCCGGCTTTGTGATTATCAATCTCTCATCACTTATCAGTTTCTTTAGTTCTTCTCTGTGCTCTTTTGTCAAGAATCTTTTACTGTCGCATTTGGTGTTTTTCTACTGATAACAACAATGCAACCATTCATTCTATTTTGAGATTCCTCTTCGCACGTGAATTTCATAACCGAATGTACTTCATTGAATTTTCAGTAATTATAGTACTCCTATCCGAATCATTATCACAAAGAATGAAGGTGTCATCCATAAATCAAAACTTACATGTATACATCATTTTCTGATTTCAGTATTCAGCGGAGCAAATCTTGAACAAGATATTGCTGGTGACACTTCTGGTGATTTTAAACATATATGCATTGCACTCCTACAAGCATCCAGAGATGAATGTCCATCAGTTGACGTGACGCGTGCACGTAAAGATGCTGAAGATCTTTACAAAGCAGGGGAACAAAAATGGGGAACGGAAGAATCAAAGTGAGTGTTGTGTTTTGCCAGAAAAAATGTTATTCTCTTCCTCTAAAAGATATTTTATACACTTACAGATTTGTTTACTAAACATATGTAGGCCAACTGCGTCGGTGTCACAGTGGTTAGGACTCTCGCTGACTATGCAAATGGTCCGGGGTTCAATACCCTGCAGACGCACATCTGATATCAATGGTTGGTCTGCAGAATTTAGGCTATCGATATCACATACTGAAAACTGAATACATGTACCTAAAATACGGCGTAGAATCAAACTATAATTTATTTTTTTATTTATTTTTGATTACAGCTTGATTCCACACTGTATTTTTGGTACAAGTATGGAATTTTCAGCATGGATATCGGTAGCCCAAAATTCGCAGGCCGACCATAGATATGAAGTTTGCGTCGGCGTGGGCTCGAACCCCGGACCATGTGCATGGTCGGCGAGAGTCCTAACCACTGTGCCGCCGACGCACAATTACAATAATATAGACTTAATGTGCGTTGGTAGGAATGCTTGGCAATCGCACACACACACACACACACGTGGCCCGGGTTCAACTCTCAACTAACACACTCCTAAACCTTACTTAACCGGTAGTCAGTCCGGTTAATAGAGAGGAAGTTAGGTGTGAGACAGACATCCCACCACACCCTAAAATGAAAACTACAGCTACTGGAACTTCAAAACTCAAAAACTTGAAGGCCAATGTTCCACTTTTAGGACGCAAAAGGGGTACATAGATATATATGAACTTAATGTAAAGGAAATCCAAAATATTAGTTTTATATATGCAAAAAATAACAATAAACACTATAATCAAAAACGTTAGACGTTTCGAGGCAGTCGGTATAAAGCCTTGAACCCAGGTTTCACTCCGGTGAGTTTTCATCAACCAGGCATATCTGTAACCTTGAAGGAAATGACGTCGTGTAGGAATTTCTAACTTGCACTACCCAGTTCTGCACTTTTTTTTCTTATCATACTAACTAAAATTAGACCAGCAACACTTTAAAATGATTGTTCATTCAATGACACTGGCACAGTTAACTCGACTGCAGATATCTTTGACAGAGTGTGTAAAACAGTCGTTTAATCTCTTCTACATAGTTCGTGTTTTGTTTTCTATGTACCTTCATTGACAGAATTCAGTCTACACCGAAAGAGAGACAAGATGATTGACATTATTTCTTATTGCCTAATGCCAAATCAAAGTATTCCTTACAGTGTTATGGGAAGTCAATAGCAAGCCCTAATAGCTCAGTAATTATGTTTCCTATTGCAGCACTTGGTGACGCAAGTTCGAACCTCAGAAACAATGTGAGTCTCTTCAAGATTGCAGATACACTTTGGTCACGAATGCCAAAAGACTTGAAACGTAGGTTAGATAGGGGTTTCTATCGATTATCTCCAACCATCTGAAAATAATATGTGAAATGTTAATCACGCTTTATAAGGTAATAATACTTTCTGGTAAGCAGAAAGAAATCGAACGTTATTGTGACACATGACTTGGTGTGCTGGATCTTTTGTGTAATCACACCGAACTTAATGCACATAATCGCCAAAATGAAACAGGTGATGGACACAAAGCTAGTAGTAGTAATAGGCGCACACAATTCAGGTTTCATTCTCCCAATAGTCACAGCTTCAGAAATTCGAATTATTCTTGAAAAATGTCTTGTATGTTCATTAGTTTAAACGATTTCACAGCGTTGGTTTGGTATTGTGTGTCAGCCAAGTGCCAAGGTATGGAGCTATTAAATGGTTTTGAACCTCTGAGAGGTAGACTGTTAGGCATATGATCAACAATCCTTGTAGATAAACGTCTGTCAAATCCAATATTGTTTTACTGATTGTTATCGTCGGAGGTTTTGAAAACACTTGAGCCTATATTGATATAAGAAGAGAACTTGTGCACTGTGGTGGTAGAGTATAATTCCATTATGGGTAAAATTTATCTTGATAAAAACACACAGTGTTTGTTATACAGTAATATTTACTGATGACCTCTTCTCGAGCATAATTTATTGCTCATAATCATATCAACGTACTCACACTACTTTCTAACTTCGTATAAATGAAGATACTGTTCAATGTACAATACTATTGTGGTGAGAGCAGGCCGTGAGAAAATATGAGCAAGGCTGATTCAACAACCAATCACAACAGACTTAACGTGGTAAAATATGATTCGCAGATAGAGAACTCTATTTTTCGAGGAATCCCGAAACAACCAATCAGAATCCTGCATTTGTCTGCCTAACTTCTGATAAACAACCAATCAGATGACTGCGCTTGTCTACTTGCATAAGCTATAATAATGTATGTGAAATATATATAAATACGTGTTGATTTTCATAATAAAGCGATCTGTTGCCTGGCCCTTGTCTTCTGTTGTTACACTATGAGACCTTGTTGGTATTAGATGGTTGGGGACAATCGGCCATAGGAAGCCTTGGACCTAGGTTTCGTGATAGTTGGCACTGATCAGCAAGGCGTATCTACAACCAGGAAGAAACTCATTTCACTTCTGAGATTCGAACGCCTGTCACGCAGTGCTGCAGTCTGAGACGTTACCACTCAGCTATTCGAGCTGACGCGCGATTGATCAGATAGGTGAACAGCTGTATGGTAAAATAACTTAGCTAAAATAGATTGTTAGTCGCTTCTTTCAAAGCCATAGAGATAAATAAAAGGGTTGAGCTATCTGTAAACTTTCGCGCATTGGAATCATTAGAATTCAAGCGTCATGATTTGGCATTCTAATTGAAATGCTTCGTTTTGACGAAAATAATCTCACTACAGTCTAGTTAAAAACATTTTATCATATGATATAATTATGAACACGCATACCTTAAGTTATGAAGTGCCATTTGAGCATACAACAACTCATAGAAGCTTAAGTCAGTGACAACATTTCTGAATGTATAATAATAATAACAATAATGATAAAATCATGCGAGGTTTTGTTTTTTTCACCATTACCTCTTGGCAACCTGAAAAGTGTCTTTATGTTGTCCAATAACCATAAATCAATAAGTGTAACCGTGGAGGAGGTTAAACTATTGTAAGTTTTAGTCGCGTTTTCATAATGAAAACGTGTATATTTATTGAATATAAATAAGTTTATGAAAAATTTAAAAAAAGCTATCTCTAGTGAAATGAGGCAGTAACTCATCGAAGAAGATATTGCGAAATGGTCGTGTTATGTAGTGAATTGGCGGAAGTTAGAATTCATGGATTGGCCATTAGTTTAGATCCAAGTGGCTTCATGGTCTACGAGCTCGCTGACCATTTGACCAGAAGGTCCTGGATTCGAACACCCTGTTTGGGTGCCTACTGCTGAGAAGTCTCAAGCTAAGATAATAAGAACATTTGTCCAGTACTTCCAGGAGGTTTTCCAGCTGTTCTCTACCTGATGTCAGCTCATAATGAACTCCCCCATCAAGTAAAACAAAATCCTTTCAAAAACAATACTTGGAAATATTATTGCTTTCAAGTTTACGAACACGGTGCTGAAAAATTCACCAATTAATCCTTGAGAAAGACTGGTAGGATAAAGGAAGAAACTACACCAGATGAAAAGCATCATATTTTATGAGTTACTACTGTGCCACTTATCACCGGTGATATTCCTGATTTTGGTTAGTTTGATCGTGCGGAAGACCCCAAGAGGGATGAAGAAAGGCGTATGTTGAACCGAAATGAAGATACTGGAAGATTTCGACTTCTATGGTGATTTATGACTAGTTTCATACAAACTGTGAGACCTACAGGCAAAACTAGTAAGTCAGTAAAAGAAGGAGAGAAGACAGAACAGCAAGTGAATACAATAAAGACAGAAATGAAGAAGATATCCAACCGGTAACAATACAAGGGTAGATATGATGCAATAAACTCCTCTGAAAATTCTATGCATTTTTATAAATATTGTCCAGAATTATCATTTTATTATTATGATTTCTTTACTACTTGCTAAGTGATGTTTAAGAGTGCATCGGTTGGGAATCGAACCGTGAACCACAAGTGCAGTTGGCTAACACTTTACCTCTGGAACCTGGAAGCGTATACATATTGTTTAAGAGAAACCATAATCAGTTGGGGAATACTTAACAAAAGAATGGTTACTGAACAAAGAATATTTTTTTGATAACCTGCTCTTCATCAGGTTCTACAGTTATATGCATCCATTCATAATAGTGAATGAATGAATTAGTGTTATTGACAGAGCAACATTAATGCTGTTTAAATAACATCAATATAGATTACAGTTCTATAGCACTAACATAACAATACACTTTTGATGACATTAGATTGTTGGAGGCAGTTGGCTACAGGAAACCTTCCACCGGCTAGGTTTCGTGCTAGTCAGCACTCCTTAGCAAGGCGTATCTGCAACCAAGAAGGAACTCATGTCTCCTCTGAGACACGAACCCGCGTCACCCAGTACTGCAGTCAGAAATGTTACCACTAAACTATTTGAGCTTGCTCGCTACTGACCTCCTGTAGGACTGTGGTGGGTATTTTGGTTGGACACTAGTGACTAGTGCAACGTGTCTAGTCATTTCTTTGGTGCAGACTGAATTCTATCAGTCAGGTTTGTAATGCGGTCACCATACTAGGTAGCTGGCCATTACGTTGCTCACTGATGTGATGATATTAGATGGTTGGAGGCAGTCAATAGGAAACTTCGCTACACCAAGTTTTCGTGTTATTTGTCACTCGCCAGAAAGGCGTATCTGACGCGGGTTTGAACCTCAAGGTTGCATATACTCCTTGCTGACCAATGAGTGCCAACTAGCACGAAATCTAGATGGTGCAAGGCTTCCTGTAGCCGATTGTCTCCAACCATCTAATAACAACAATTCACAGTGCACTGTGATGGTGAGCCACCTAGAATAGTGGTGGCCACATTGCAAACCTGACTGACAGAATTCAGTCTGCACCAAAGAAAGGACTAGACATATGACACTGATTACTAGTGTCTAATCAAATAACAATAGAATGAATATCAGACAGAGAAGTTTTGAATCTATGACATTCCCAAAGCTTAAATTTTTCTTCTACAAGGGAACACATAAATATCTTCAGTTTAAAACTCTTAAACTGTGTTTTTATGTGATTTTTTCTGCGTTTTCCTTGTATCTAATAGATTCATTCAAGTATTTGTCTCAAGATCTCATGCTCATTTGCAAGCCGTATTTGCAGAGTATGCAACTTTGAGTCAAAAAGGTATAGAAGGTGCTTTAAAATCTGAATTCAGTGGCTGGATACTTGAAGCTTTACTTGCTATTGGTAGGTATTTTTTTCACATTTTCGTTTTCTTGTATTTACATGAACTATGTCTTTCTACTTTTGGAAGAAATACTTTGAATGATTTAATGTATATATATATATATATATATATACACTGAAAGCACTGAAAATGCACATAGAGACCATAGTGGATATGCTGACGCCACTGTTGCAAAAAGTTTGGAAAGAAGGAAAGGTAACTACTGATTCGAAGAAAGGCAATAGTGTAAAACTCCCGAAAAACGGAGACTTATGCCTCCACAACAACTGGCGCCGTGGATTGTTCTTGTCCACGCCAAGTAAGATAGTAAGTTGCATCATTCTAGGGAGGATAAAAGATGCTATGGGTGCAGAACTCTATCAAACCGGAACAAACTGGAGACAGGAAAGGTAAATCGTGTGTTGATCAAATTCAAACTTTAAGCACCATTCTCGAACAGACAGTGAATAGAAAGGAAGTCAAATCTCTAACTCAATTTCAACGACTTTGAAAGCACCTTTGGTAATGACGACCACGATGTAATTTGGAAGCCACTTGAACACTATGGCATGCAATGTTACATATTTTTATCAAGTTCATTCATCTGCCATAGGACACTTGTGTAGAAAGCATCGTTTCTTTTATAGGCGACAGAAGCGATGAAGAGTAAGAATTGCAAGACTAACCTTCATCAGTTTGAAAGCGGTATAGAAATCTTCTTCACTGAGCATAAATATCAAAATCAGGATTTTTAGCATTGATGTTAAATATGTCGGTGTTTCTATATGAGTCAGAAAGTCGTACTGTGCGTCAGTGAAAGCATTTCCAACAGGCCACTGCAGAATTTCATCAAAAGCTGCCTTTTCTGGCTCCGTGCTGAATAATAATATTAATAACATCTATATTCTGGACAGTATTGATAGAAATGCACAGAATTTTCAGACGAGTTAATTGCATGATATTTCCTCTCTTCGTACAATATCTTCAAGTGAAATATTAATTAACTGACAGCACTATATCCTTCCTGTGAGACAATGATCTCTCTGAGCTGAAGCACAAACCATTCCATTAAGTGATCTGCCTGCTATGTCCCTCAAGAAACCCACGATATCTAAATGAGAGCCAATTGAAAGATGTTCATTAGTACATTTTGAGATCCAAGGAGATAAGTGAAGAACATCTGAAGATCAAATGGCCTACTGGAAGGGATCAGCAACAAGAAATTCAGGCTTGTGAAGAACCAACCGAGAACTGATTGCTCAGCAAATATTCCGAAGAAAATGGAGATGAACTGAAGGCACGCCCCTGTGGAGATAATCAAATGGCATAGCGTTCTAGGCCATCGCTCGAATGTAACCCGACTTCGAAATGACGAGTTTGGCGTGTCTTCTTCCTCTTACTTCGGCTATCTCCTACGGGAGGATGAGCCGGCTTCATGAACCATGAAGTTTCATGGGAATTAAGTACGAGTGATGTCCCCAGCATCGCTCGGCCTTTTGTTTGAGGGTGCAGCTCTAGCCTTTACACAACCAAGTGTGACCTACAAGGCAGTAGGAGTGGAGTAGGGAGTCCACTATCCATTGGCAGCCGGTGACCGGAGTCCGGTTCACTCGCCTTTTGAATGGGGCCAGTCATCCAGGACATCCAACAAGCCCTTTGTCCATACGTCTGCCGGTGAGCTCCAGTGAGCTTCATACGCCAGTCGTTGGAGGTTTGGAATCAGGGTTTAGCCATCTCCCCTAGACTGTCATCCAATGGACAGACAGTCAACCCGGTGAAGAGCGCCGGGCATCTGCTTTTTCCCTCTCACTTCGGTGAAAAACACCTCTGCCACGTGAAGGCAGTGAGTAGGACTTCCTCAGGAGAGGCTATGTAAGACGCACGGTCATATGGGAGCATTTCAAGAGGTGTACGGAGGGTGGCCAACCCGCAGCGCAAGACACCCACCCCGACCATCCTGAGGCTTTGGAGGTGTGTGTCCAAGGGTGACATGGAGGAGACCGCATGAGGAGGAGATGGCAGATTATGGGCAGTCGTAGGGCCAGCTAAATGACACGTCGGAGAATAGGACAAAGTGGATATGTGCTGTTGAAGCCTCATGTTCCACCCCCAAGCAAAGGGAACAACCATAATAATAATAGCAAGATAATAATAACGTATTAATCGTTGCTAAAACGTTTGTCATGTTGATATATGCATTACTGTGTTTTCGTAATTTATCTTACCCTTTTTGGAATCAATACCATGATAATTCTGACTGTCTAGCCAAAGCCTTGAACACTTCCGTTTTTGATTTGATTATTTCAGCCATTTGAATATCGGCATAATTTATTCAGAGAGAGAATAATTAGAGTGAACAATTCTGATTTCAATCAATTCTTTATCAAGCTGTACAATTATGAATTCATTATTTCTAGCATTGGTATTGTTCAGTCGTGTCGGCGTCACAGCGGTAAAATGCTCGTCAACCACGCCTCATGTGGTCCGGGGCTCGATCCCGACGGCCGACGCACTCCTTCACCTCTCTAAGCCACAATTAAGACTAGTAATGAATGAAGGTTGGGCGTGAGGTTAGAAACCTCATTCTGTTGAAATAATCTCCACTGCTACCGAAAATTCAAGTGTCTAGCTTGAAGCCGCCCTATGTTCCTTTGGGAATGTACACGAATAAAATAATGACTTAAATAAATTAGTCAGTCATTACATCACATGAGATTTAAGGTTATCTGTAACTTTATTACTTCAGTTGACATTTATTAAAATGTGGGAAACGTGGTTCTCACTTTTTCGTTCAGAGTTAAACAGAATCTTTACCGTTACAAGAAGGTGAATACTGTTGAACACTCTCCAACCGCGTTAGAAATCAAGGTTCGATTCGAAACCGACGTACTCTTAAGGCATCAAATGGTCCTTCTTAGACCCCATAAAGATGGAAAGTTTGGCTTGAGATTAGCGACCTCCCTTCTATTGAAACTTGAAAGGTTCGAATTATTGGAACGTAAGAATGAAGAAATATTGAATAATAAATCAGTCATTGTTTAGTTTCTTTACTTATTTTAATAATGAACTAAGTTTGAGGCGTTAAATTAAGTGGATTTTTTTAGAACTTTAGCTGTAATTTATCTCTGATCCAGTGGCTTTCACATTAGTATTTTCTGTGTTGAAAAAGCATAACTATAGATCCTCAGACATGATATATGTCTGATTTCCTACAAACTGGAAGATATGCAAGTGAAAAGCAACAAGCTGGAAGAAGAAGCATCAAAGATAGGAACTCCAAGTAAACATAGAGAAAACAGAGGTGATGAAGATTTTTGGCCTACACCAACAGCCACAACAACAACAACAGACAACAATCAGCCAGTATAAATGGGAAGAATCTGAGAGAAACAATCTCCTTCACCTACCCACCTACCTACCTGGGAAGCGTTTTTTCAACTACAGGCGGAGCTGACGAGAATATCAAAGCCAGAATGGGAAAAGCAAGACAAGCTTTCATTACTCTTAAGTCTGTGTGGAGGACATATAATTGTAGCTAATAAGAGCCAGTAATTGATCTACTTTTGATTGTATGTTTGAACAGGTAGTTTTTTTTTTACAGGAGAAGTAGTTTATCAGCTGGATACGTCAATCTTCTCAGTGATTATTATGCTACTTTGAGTTTGCGTTTTATGCGTCCCCCACCCCGTGTTTATTATGGCATTTTAATTCCTAATTGTAATTTTATTCACTTTGACCCCTAACCGGAAATTATTCTGGAACTTTCCCACTCATTTATTATAAATACACGAATGTACAGCCTCCTAGTTGACGATGACTTCGTCGAAAAGAAAATTTTGTTCGCTGCAACCGTTTGTTTAAGAATTCATATCCTTCAAAAAGTGTTCTTGTTGCATTGTTCAATACGAGGTGGGGATGGGTAAAGTTTTACACTTATGTTTCCTTAATTTTTTTCAAAATATAAATTTGTCTTTCATTAAATTTGAATATTCTCTTCCTTGTTTTTTGTTGATTCATCGAATATTTTAGTTGCTTGTGTAAATAATCCAGCATTGTTTTTCGCTGAAAAACTCAAGTATGCTATGAAAGGAGCTGGGACGGATGATAGAACACTTATTCGTATTATAGTTTCACGTTGTGAAGTTGATATGGGCGCGATTAAACATGAATTTCATCAACTAACTGGAAAGTCATTAGAATCATGGGTTGAGGTAAGAAGCAACACACAAAAATATTCTTTTTATTCCTTCTAAATTATCGATTAAAATAGTAATATTAAATTCACAAACGTTTCTTGAAGTTGCCTAGATCACGAATCGAATTACTATACAGACTTGTCCTATTAAGGTAAGTAGTTACCTGGGGTTCTAGTGAGAAGTCGTGACCAGTAGGGTGCAGTAGGTTAGGTCTGAGGAAAAGTGCTCACTGAAGACATTGGCTAGTGGCCGCACTATGTGGTGAATTGGCAGAATTTAGAATTCATGGACTGACCACTGGATAGGATCTCAGTGGCTTAATGGTCTACGAATTCCATGGCCATGTAACCAGATGGTCCTGGGTTCGAACTGTGGCAGTGGCTGCGTACTGATGAAGAGTCCCAAACTAAGGTGACGAAACAGCTGTCCAGTACTTCCAGCTGGTTTTCCGATGGTTTTCTAACGAATGTCAGCTCATGATGAAATCCTGTAACTAATCAAATCCCTACAAACCAACGGTTGAAAAACAAAATAATTGAAGAAAGAATATCCCCCTTTCGATAATTTCCTCCTCTTTTCGCTCTACAATTATACGCGTGTATGTTTATATACACAGAATATTCTAGAATAGTAGTCAGTAACAATCTATCGACTTCTTAAGTAAGATCACAATGGAATTACAGTTCATTAAAAATGCATAAATTATAACAATAATAAAAATATAGTAACAAATAGAATATCAACTAAAATTAAGAAAATTGCTACAAAAAATTAAGGATCATTCGAATCTAGATTGTCAAGGTAAGGACAATGTCTGAACTGACTTCTTTTAGACGCATAAATTAGGCTTCTTAATGTGGATCCCAACAGCCATCGTCAGCAATATTTAGTAAACGAACTGTTAAGGTGAAGTTAAGATTAGTTGGTTGGTATGCGTGGTAAATTACTTTGAAAGCTACCTCGTTAACATCAATCTTGTGTTCTGTATCCACAAGATGATGAAATAGAAAAGCGCTACGAATAGATTTTGTTTGTCCCTTACTTAACCTTTATGCAGGATGATGTTCGGAAATTCGACGAGAAACACGCCTAATTGTACAACCTATGCAACAAATTGGCTCCACAGGAGCCGTTAAATTGGTAGATACACATGGAAGAGGCGAAATTAGGCAGTTAATCTTTTATTCCTGAACGCAAAATAGGGGTGGGTAGTTTTGAAGGCACAACATAATTCGGCAGCAGGGAATGCTCTTCTTTTACCGCCGTATTCCTAAGACGCTGTGTTAGTATCTCGCTGATGTTATTTCTTTGTTCCTTATGCAGTGTCTTGGTTTTTTTATTATGGCCTGTTACAGAGTAATCTTTTCAAAAGTTATATATCTTCAAAGTTCTCTTTGTCGACACTTAGTAAAAACTTGACAACGTCAATTCTAAGTCAGTGACACCTTCAATTATGTATGCATTCTAGATATAGCCGACGAACATTGTGACTTAGAGGGGGGGCATATATAATCCAAAGTCCCCCACCTCCGTATTGCCTAATGATGGAGTTCTTTATTGTCCAGGGGTAATATTGATAAATTCAGTATGTATATTGTGTTAAGGTTTACATAGTTGCCGGAAGAGGCGAAAGACAGGCTATTATGTCAACACATAGAAAAGACAAGGGTGATGGATATATCTAACCAACAACAATACCAACACCAACTGGCATCATTCACAGTCAATACGGGAAGTCTAAAAGCAGTAAGCTACTCTGATTATTTAAGGGGAATCAACAGGTGGCACAGATGACGATATCAAAGGAAGGATTGTAAAAACAAAGCAGACTTCCATACGATTCAAAGACGTGGCGCATTCATCATGAGAAGCATTTTCCAACCCTTGCCAACGCATACCTTCTCTCAAAATAGAAGATCTGATGGCCATTTGAAAACAAGGAATAAAACGACCAAAAACCTTTTGCTTATTGATATTTAGAATAGAAATTGAGCGTTGTGGTAGAGTTTAATTCCATTATACAGTAATATTTTTTGTAAATATTTACTTGTATAACACTGTGAGATTTGATCAAAATAAAATCTTCTCCATAATGGAAGCTACTGCTTAACTAGCAATCACCAGCCAGACTGTTGAGCATAACCCGAAGCATAACCGGAAACAGCGTGTTTGACATTCGAGAATGACATGGAGGAGATAATGTGAAGAAGAACTGAAGGATCACAGGCTGTTGCCGAGCTACTTAAAGAAAAACTGGAGGGAATAGGGTTAAATGCAGATACTTTTCTGAGTCCTTTTGTTTCACCTGGAGTTACCATAGGAATGGTAATAATAAATGTGCGTCGGTGGCACAGTGGTTAGGAATCTCGCCGACCATGCACATGGTCCGGAGTTCGAATTTTGGGCTACCGATATCCACGCTGAAAATTCCACACTTGTACCAAAAATACAGTGTGGAATCAAGCTGTAATCAAAAATAAAATTAAAAAAATGTGCTATTTTTCATAAGCGTAACATAGTTTGTTGTGTGTATGTGTGTGCCTAAGTTGACCACTGAGATATTCTACGGTGTTAATATTAATCGATACCCACGCATCTGAATATATGAATATTAAGTATCTTCACTGATATATGTATATGTATAGAACTTTGAAAACTGAACTTACAGTGGCTGTGTAAAACGATGGGAATAACATACTTTTTAGTTTTCTATAGTTTTGGTTTGTAAGGATTAGTTATGTTTTACGAGTTGATCACGGATTGATATCAGTTAGAGAACCATTGAAAACCAGGGAGTACTGGACAGCTGCTGTTTCATCCTAGTTTGGGAATCATTGGGAGTACGCACCCACTGGGATTCGAACCCGGGACGTTCCGGTTACAAGGCAAGCTCGTATACCATTCAGCCACTGGGACCCGATTCAATGGCTTGTGAATTCTAACTTCAACTAAATCATGATTTAGCGCGACCCCAACCATTGTCGTTGGTGGGACATCCATCCGCACACGTGACATCTAATTGGACCTCACTGGTCACGACTTCTCACTAGAACTCAGGAAACTCCAACCTGTAGGAAGTCACTAGCGAGCATCAGATTAACTTTCTATAGTTTGGTTTGTAAGGATTAGTTATGTTTTACGGGTTGATCACGGATTGATATCAGTTAGAGAACCATTGAAAACCAGGGAGTACTAGACAGCTGCTGTTTCATCCTAGTTTGGGAATCATCGGGAGTACGCACCCACTGGGATTCGAACACACACACATAAATATATATATGTGGATACATATCAGTCGCGCTAAATCACGAATTAGTAGAGGTTGGAATTCACGAGCCATTGAATCGGGTCCCAGTGGCTGAATGGTATACGAGCTTGCCTTGTAACCGGAACGTCCCGGGTTCGAATCCCAGTGGGTGCGTACTCCCGATGATTCCCAAACTAGGATGAAACAGCAGCTGTCCAGTACTCCCTGGTTTTCAATGGTTCTCTAACTGATATCAATCCGTGATCAACTCGTAAAATACTATTTAGTGTTGAAATATGCTAACGAAGAAATCGTTGCAAATTAAAGCATTCCAAATGAATTACTACTGATAATGTTCCCTTGGGTTCCGAGTGAAATATAGGTCCTCGCCAACTCGTCTTCACTTTTGCCTATTTTCTGTAGTCCTCTCCAGCTGGTCTCAGGATTCCCCATAATCTCTTATCTCCTCCTCACCGCACGATCTCTTCCATGTCAACCAATCAGGTTCCACTCGAGTGATTGCCTGCATTCCTCAAGATCTCATTCGACGGTCTCTTTAGTGGCGTGTTCCCGATCCATCTCCATTTGTGTTGAGCCATAAGTTCTTGGCTGACTTGTTCCCAGAGTTTCCTGTTGCTAAGCTCTTCCAGCCGGCCATTTAATCTCCAATATGGAGACAACGAAGGAGGTAGCTGTTGATGAAAGTATACAGTGACCTGTTGGAAATGTTTTTGGTGACGTGCAGTGCACGTTTCTAACTCACATAGAAGGACTGATTAGCGTAAAGTTTCTGTTGAGGATCCGAATGTTTTTGTTTATGGGTGAGTGAGAGTGGAGAAGATTTCCACAATGATACCGGAGTGATGAAGGTTTGTCTTGCTTTCCCACTCTTGATTATAGCATACTCATCGGCACCGCGTGTAGCTCAAACGATGCTTCCTAGATAAATATTCCATGATACTCAAACTTTTTACTGACATTAAAACATTAGATATCCAGTGATGATGCAGTTTTAATAACTGGATGACAAGATTTCGAGTGTAAACTATTGTCACTCAAAATTATATCAATTTAGTCAGACGGTTTCGTAATTTGTCGCACGTATATTTTATCTCTTCCTCCCTTCCACTTATTGTTTGTTACCATCTTCCATATCTCCGGTATACGTGTTCTGTCATTCCGACTGTACATGTACGGTGTTCAATCGATAAGCAAAACTTCAATGGTTAACCTTCCTCTCCACCTAACTATATCATTTCCTAATACTTTCGCCGTGTCCCATCCTGTTGTGTCATTACCTGCAAGTGAATGCAATACAGTGGCTGGGCTTTCTTCCAGGTTATTTAGCCTTAGCAGGTTCAATTATTTTAGATTTGTATAAATTTTTATGTTCCAATAATCTAGTTGACCCCGATCTACTAGTGTGACCTAAGTGTAATTGACCCTACTCACAGTCATCAATACATAGTATTTGGTAAATTATATTACTTTGTCTAGTTGCATTTGTTATGTCTTTAAGCCGACGAAGTTTACCTCTGAGAGAGTCAGTTGGTTTAAATGTCACCCTGACTAATTCCAACTTCACTGAGAATTCTACATAAGGTTTCTGACATGTTCCTCCTCTATAAGGCAGTACTGCAGAGACTTTGAGTGCGTCGGTGGCACAGTGGTAGAGTGCTCACCGACCATGCAAGTGATCCAGAGTTCGATCCCGGGCCACCGACACGCTCTTTTACCACCTCACTAAGCCAGTAATAAGACTGATAAAGAGGGAAGGTCGAGCATGGGGCTAGCAACCGCATCCTGTAAAAACAAATCACCAAATATTCCAGAAACTTCCACTGGGAAAGTAAAGAAATAAGAGAAAACAACAGACAGAGGCCTTGAACTTAATATTATTTTCGTCATTATTACTACTCATCTTGTTCTTTTTTATGGTTTTTCATATTATTTCTAAATAATCTCTCTTTCTTTCTTTTCATTACAGGGTGATACAAGCGGAGATTACCGTCGATTATTATTAGCCCTTATTAGTGGTTAACTGACGAATGAATAACACTCGAGCAAAAAGGTTTTCACTTCTACTCATTATGATTCTTATATTTCTTTATTTTTTTTCGCCAGCTGTGCATGTTCAATTTTCAGCTCGCCAAATCGCTTTCAAATTTTCCTTCCCCCTCTAATTCTTAATCCAAAAACGTATTTACATCAAACAGACAAATTTACACATAATTATAATTATGTTCAACCAGTATACTACAGTACACTACACTACACTGCATTATACCTACGCATATACGAATAAGCTTGTGTAAGTGTAGAAATCGATCAATTCTGTACTGGTTACATCTTGTATAAGTAAGTGGGCAATCAAGGTCACGGACAGGTAATGAATAAACCTTGTTTTCCTTTGTGTTGGCAACTCCCCCTTCTTCACCCCAGTCACTATTTCACTTTCGTTTTTTTTCGTTTTACACTCTTTCTACTTTCTTTATTTTCACCATTTGTGTAATACCATTTCAATTCATTCATTCAATATAATAACAATAATAATAATAACAATAAAAATGGCAATAAATCGATAAAACGAAGGACAGAATGTTCTATTTTTTTGTATTCAGTGTTTTGTTGTTTATGTAATATGAACGGAAACACACTACGTTTATTATGCTGTCAATAAAAACGTTAATAACAAGGTGAATGGCGAAAGACTTGGTTATTATATTATTATCATTGTTTCCTTTAGTTCCTAGAGGAACATAAAGCTTCAGTTGCACGTCTCCATTGTGTTTGGTTCTCCACCGACGTTTTTATCTGGCTCGACGTCTGTCCACATGTTTTCATTTGCTTTCCATATGATATCCATGTCACCCTTGCACTGACGATCAAGTAGCCGCCTCCCATTCGGCCAGGTTCCACTCGAGGGCCTGTCCTGTGGTGTCACTTGATGGTTTGTTTTCTCAGAGTATGGCCGATCCACCTCCATCTCTTCCTGAATATGTGTTGCAGGGTTGGTTCCTAGTGGGTTGATTCGTTCATTGCCAGAGATGTCTCACTGTTGCTGATGTTTTCTGGCCGGCCACGTGATCTTGAGTAGCATTGAACGAAGGCAGCTGTCAGTGAAGGTTTGTAGTTTCTTCAAAGTTCTCATTGTGAGGCGGTGCCTAATCTCTGATCCATGTAGTAAGTAGCACTGACTTCACATTGAAGTTGAAAATTCGGATATCACTTTTCATGCTGAGTGCTATTGACCTTCACACAGGCTTGAGAGAGATGAAAGCTTGATTGGCTTGCTTTCCTGATCCCCGCTTTGATATCCTCATCAGCTCCGTCCACCTGTAGTTAAGACGATGCTTCCCAGGTAGGTAGGTAGGTAGGTAGGTGGGTAGGTGAATGAGGTTGTTTTCCTCAGATTTCTCCTATTTATGTTGATTGTTGTCTGTTGTTTTTGCTTCCCCTGCTGCTATAGGCCAAGAATTTCCATCACCTCTGTTTTCTTTATGTTCACCTGAAGTTCTATCTTTTCTGCATTTTTCCTCTGTCGCCGACTTGTTAGTTTTCACTTGCATATCTTGCAGTTCGTAAGAAATCAGACATATATCACTGGCTTTGGTTAAAGAATATTTATCTGAAATGTAATATCGCTATGTATAGCGAAATTATGCACACTTTATTTTCAATACACGATTTTCACGGATCTTCCATGTTAGCCTTCCTTCATATTCTGTTTGTTTATATTCCTTCCATGTCTTCCAAGTATCTCCTTAACACTGTATCATTTGCTTTCAAATCTATCTCGCTGATATTTGATGTCTTTTATATCGATGAACATCTCTTTATATACTTATATATATGCTACTGATAAATCTTATGAGTAGCACATCGCATAACATGACTTGCATATATCGTTTGTATTAGTTTATGATTAGAAATATAATGTAAGGGAGGAATTTGAAAACAAAAATGGGACTGGAACTCAGCGAAGTGCATATAATATAACATTATAGTTATTTCATTGGATTTCGAGTGGAATACATGCCTTTAGCAGCATATCTCCACCCTTCAATCTGTTCTTTGTAGTCGTTCTCAGCTAACGCCATGAAAGTTAATAAGCTTCCAGTTGCTCTTCCTATGATGTCCTCCAAATTGCCCCAGGAACATTGTCCAGCACATCGCTTGTCTCTTTTTCGAGTTCCACTCAACAGTCTCTTAAGACTGTGTTGATTTCATCTGGATTTCCTTTGGTATATTTTCTGAGCGAGAGATTAATAATTAATTAATAATAATAACAGCTTTATTCCAAACAGTATTTGTGGTACAGGTATGGAATTTTCAGCGTGCATTACAGTATATTGCATCTAATTACCTCATAAATTATATAAGATTTTTAAAAATCAAAGATAAATAAATAAAAATAAAATAAATTAGTTATAAATAAATAAAATAAATAAATATTAAAAATTAAGAAAAAAACAAACAGCGTAGAGTATTTCATTTCAAACAATGCACCACAGGATTTGAAATATAAAGTTGATGTGTGGTAGAAGATGAGAACAACAGTGTGATAGTAACGAGGAAAGGAAAACAAAAACTAATGGGACTATTTGTTAGAGTGCCGCAGTAAGTTTATCGTGTCATACCTAACGGATTTCTCATCACATAACAGCTGTGCCAGATATGGTATTGTGGAGTTTTTGTATTTGGTAGTCCTAGCATATAGCCTCCTATAGCTGCTTCTAGTTCTTCCAGATGAAATGCAAGGAGATAGATGCGTATAGAGAGGATGCTTGGGGTCCGACAATATTGTATTCGCTAGTTTCTTACATGACATAATATGTCTATCTACAATAGTGTTCACCAGTTGGTTTAACGATATCCCACTTGCCCTACTAACAGCTTTTAGTGCCCTTCTCAGCGAAGCAAAGTCTTTCTTAAGTAGTCCAGGAAAGACTAATGGGGAGCAGTAAAGGAGGATGGGTAGAATACAAGAATTTACAAACTGAGAAAGTAAAGACTGCTTTATGCCAGACTGCCTAAATTTCCTAATGTAGAACGTTAAGCGAAACATCTTTCTAGTAACTAGCAAGATGTGGGAAGACCAGGAAAGATCGGTGGAAAAACTCAGCCCAAGGTACTTGACATAAGATGTATTTTCAACCTCTGTGTCGTCAATGAGAGTGGGGCCATGTGAGCTAACTAGTTGCTGTAGGTCACATTTACGTCTGAAAGTGAAATTGACTACCTGACATTTAGACGGATTAAGCTTAAGTCCGTTTGAAGAGGACCACTGACTAATTTCCGACAGAAAGCTATTTAATTTGGAACAATCTGACTGAGAGTTGACAGGCATAGAAACCGAGAGGTCATCGGCATATTTAACAAAAGTGGCTACATCAGAATGAGGCAAGTCATGTAAGAAAAACGAGAACAGAAAGGGAGAAAGAACAGCACCTTGAGGAACACCAGCTAAAGTAAGTGAGGTAGTGGAGGATTTTCCATTGTAGACGGTGTACTGCTTCCTTTCAGAAAAATAGGAATGCAACCACTTATTTGTCCAGCTTTCAGCCTGTGTTGCAGCAAGCTTACTTAGCAAGAGAGACCTGGGAACAGAGTCAAATGCAGATGTGTAATCAAGGAAGGCACAGCGAACGTATTTAGCTCCTTTATCTAAACTAGAGACTATGCTATGGTGGAGGACGACAGCGGCATCTAACGTACTCCTACTATGTTTATAAGCAAACTGGTTGGGGTCGTTGAAAGGTTTTAAAGAGGGATCAAGATTAAGTAAAATAAGTCTTTCCATAACTTTCAAAAAGGGTGAGGTAATTGAAATGGGTCTAAACTTAACATTAGGTCCACTTGTAGATTTAGGCACTGGAACGATCTTGATGTTTTTCCATGATTCAGGTATAATACTTTTGGAAAACGATTCGTTGAAAATGTCAGTTAGCGGGGAACACAAGATGTCGGCACACTCCTTAAGGATAACAGCAGGAACACCATCAGGACCGAGGGACTGAGTAGGCTTGAGAGATTGAAGACACTTGAGGACATCATATGTGTTTAAGCATGAGAAGCAGTCATTGTTTACACTATTTGAGTTAGGAATCATAACATTTGCTGGGATACATATGAAGGATTCATTTAGCATGTTAACATCTACAGAAATATCATTCAACATTTGCTTACCACCTGTGATTTCCTTTAATAACTTCCACATATTTGATACAGCTGGTCATTCAGTCTTCAATATAGAGTGAAGGCAGTTGTTAATGTAAGCCTGTAGCATACTGAAAATGATTTTCGTGGCCTATGCGTCAAGTCTTAAACTACTTAGAAGTAGTCACTTGATATAAGTGTTGAAAATCCGGATCTCCTTTATTTTATGTTTTTAATTACAACTTGTTTCCACATCGTATTTCTGGGATAGGTATGGAATTTTTAGCATGTGACATCGGTAGCTCAAGTGTTGCAGGCGGACCATAAGTATCAGGTGTGCGCCGCTGGGGATTCGAACCCTGGACCATGTGCATGGTCGACGAGAGTTCCAACCACTGTGCAACCGACATACTTTATGGCTGAATACGACAGATTTTCTCATTGATTTCAGATTTGGCAAGGTGTGTCTTGCTTTTGTGACTTTGAATTTGACATTGCCATCTGGGCCATTTGCAGCTGAAATGATGTTGCATAGAATAGTGGAAGAATTGGTATTCTTGAAAATTCTTCAGTTTAAAGAGAGTGCCGCTTGTTATAATTAGTTAGGTATCTATCTTCTCGCTGTTCACTTGGAGTCCCGTTTTCTCCTACCACCTGGTTGATTTTCGCCAGCAGATCTTCAAGTTTATATGACATTAGACGTAAATTATCTTTGGATTCCATAGCTTCTAGATTCTCCGTTTCAGCCCAACGTATACCCATCTTCCTGCTCCCTATTATATGTTGCATGATTTGGTTTATTCCATTGAGGAATATCGTCGATGATGGTATGAAGTCGTGTCTTACTCTTGTTTTCAATTCAAAGACTTCGCTAAGCCCTCC